AACACCCAAATTTGGTTTCTGTTTTTTGTTTTGTTATACCTCGACAATCGAAGAAAATTGTCAAGCAAACTTTCCAGAATCCAAAAATTTGTACACGTATAATGGCATCTTTAAGTTGTATTTAAAAACTTAGTAATAATAAAAATATTTATTTGGAAAGAACTACAGCTTAACTCCGGTAGCGCTTCTCCTAAACACGTGTTGTGCTGACCAATATATATTTGAAATTAAAAAACCAAACAGATTTCGTTAAAGTAATATTTTAGCTAATAATTAATCTTAATTAATTGAAAAAATAAGCAAAATAAAATTATTTGACTAAAAGCAGAGCTATAAAAAAATTGATTTTTTGAAAGTTATAAATGTATTTAACACCCTAACGCTACGCTGTTTTCCAAAGACATTTAGTGATTTCGGAACCAATCGTGCTATCAATTTTCCTAGATCTAGACTAAATGATCTTTCAAAGTGGTTTTCACTGATCTTTCCAAAATTCGAACGATTCCAGTGAGATCTCTGACTGTTAATGGTCGATTTTCAAGCACCAAATCCTTTATTTTATTGAAGTGACTGATGATCATTTATGTTGATAATCGCCCGGGTTCGTCGCATACAATAGCATACAAAATTTAATGGAACTTCTTTGTTGAGTAAGAAGTTCGGTTTGCTGCACCASCTATGTACTACGAATCTGCCCCAAAAAAATTTGATATTAAGGTGGTTTAAAATAAATTGTTTAAAAAAATCAAAATTCCATTGTGACTTAAATTTCCAAAACTTACGTTTTTGATATTTTTTTTAAATTTATTTATTTATTTTTTCAACTCAAATGTCAACTTTCGAAAAACATAAAAATAAAATAAATTATTCAGCCAAAAATAAAACTACAYACACAACACAAATAAATTTCGTAACGAAATTTATAAGAATTAGTTCCATATAAGCAAAATTCCGACTGCTTTCGAGAAGCAAATGAGTATGAATTCCGTTTAGTTGGAGCACTGTTAAGAAGAGACCATATCTTAAACTAAATCGTTAACCTTTGCAGCTCACTTTGGTGTTCGACATCTGCAAATGCTCTTGCTCTTCGGCACAATGTGCGTTGTGTATGCGCTGCGTGTTAATCTGTCGGTAGCGATCGTTGTGATGACAGATAAGACGTCAAATCCGGACTTTGAAGTAATATAAAAAATCTTGCTGACGATTGGTTTTGTACAAACACATTAACCATATTGTTTTCTCTCCATTTTCTAGGAATACAATTGGAATGAACATGTCAAGGGTTTGCTGTTGAGTTCCTTCTTCATCGGTTATGTCACCTCACAAGTACCTTCCGGCTATTTATCACGCCGTTGCGGTGGCAAATTATTGTTGCTCATCAGCCTTGTCAGTTGCTCGCTGTTGGCCATATTGACSCCATTATGTGCAGCTATCGGTAATTGGCAGCTGGTGCTTGCTTCACGCATAGTACAGGGCGTATTTCAGGGCACCGTATTTCCTTCAACGCACACGATACTCTCGCAGTGGTCRCCGGTTGAAGAGCGCGGTCTAATGAGTTCGTGCACATATTCGGGCTGTCAATTTGGTACGTTCGTTATGTTGGGCAGTAGTGGCGTGATTGCTGCCTCGCGTTTAGGTTGGCCTGGTATTTTCTACATATCCGGCAGTRTCGGTTTACTGTGGGCCGCCATATTCAAGTGTTTCGGTTGCAGTTCACCGAAAGAGTGTCGACACCTATCGGAGCGTGAACGCGAACTTATCACCTCACACTGGGGCACTTCGGAGCTGCAGTTTAGGCGCAGATCAATGCATCCACCCTGGACAGAATTCTTCAAGTCATGCCCCTTTTGGGCACTCATGACTGTGCACTGCACCAATAATTGGGGCCTCTGGACATTGCTCACCTATATGCCCGTCTATGTGAAAAATATCTTAAATATGGACATACAGAATAATGCACTCTCATCGGCACTGCCGTACTTTTCAATGTGGGTGCTCAGCTTCGTATTTACGGCATTGTCCATGTGGTTCAAGAAACGCCAATGGATGTCTTTGAATACAAATAGAAAGCTCTTTAATACCATTGGTCATGGTACACCGGCAATAACGTTAATTGCGCTCGGCTATGTGAATGCGGATCATGTGATCGCTGCAGTAGCTTTACTCACGATAACGGTTGGTGTTAGCTCGGCTTCGTATTTGGGTTATCAAATCAATCATATTGACTTATCACCGAACTTTGCTGGCATCCTAATGGGCATTTCGAATTGTTTAGCCAATATAACGGGMATTGTGGCACCGCTAACAGTGGCACTAATAGTCACTAATGAGGTAAGTTCTGTTTCTCAACGTGGAAGACTCRCTTGTGGCACTAATGACATCAAAAATTGCTGGTTGAAATCATAAATAGCTCGACGTAGACAAAACACATTTTTTCAACAACAACCGATTTTATTTAGTTTTTGTCTGCTAAAAATCCTAAAAATCCTAACCTTACTACAATCCTTCAATTGAAGAATATCTTAACAGCCAATCACTTTATTTTATAGAAATCCGTTGAGCAATGGCGTATAGTGTTCTTTYTGGCCTCGTCCCTGTACATTTTGGGCAATACGGTGTTTCTCATTTTCGGTGATTGCAACGTACAACCGTGGAATGATCCAGCTGATTAGTTCTAAACGACTTTGTTAAACATTAATGCATGTACGTTCTCTCTTAAATATGTCTGTGGAATTTATAAGCGACTCATAAGATTAAGCATATAAATTAGGTGTAAATCTATATATGTACATATGTATAAATTAATGTAAATTTGTCTCTGTTAAATAAACTTCAGTGCATAGCTCATGGTGACTTAACATAAAATGGCAAATGCTYTATCAAATCCGCACTATGGCGGGCGTTTAGACTACGTAAATAGAAATAGTTATAGTTGCAAGCAAAGTAAGTAATACGTCAGTAAAATGTAAGCATTCAAGCAGATTTGGTTTAACTGCAATCCTTACAGGGATTTCCGTGTGGTTCCTTGAAATCTCTTTTATATACATTTTGTTCAGTAAGATAATTACAAATTCATACTTAAATATTGAGCTTKTAGTCAAAGGCTAGTGAGCATCGATTAACCTCTCCAGTGTTCCTGAATAGAATAGAATTTGAACACAGTCAGGATTTCGATAGCTTCATATGACCATATTTAACGCAGAAATAGTATCACATATAGCTTAATAAAAATGTTTAAACTTTTTAAGCTTCAAAAATACCACAGTGTTTTTCAATAGAGCACTACAAGAGCAGATCGATAGGTACAGCAAACTACGCTATACTTTTCTCACTCTGTTGTCATTTCTATCCAGTAAGGTTCGCCATTTCTTCATGGGATGATATGCGATCCAACAAGGAGCCAAAATAATTAAAATATACTACCAAAATACGGATAGATCTGTGGCCTCAACTTTAAGAGTGCTACGCCTTATTGTTGTCATAATCGTCCTGTCAAATTAACAATTGAGCGTTTAGTGGAAAAGTTTAAATCCACAAGCACAGTACAATATGTTCGAGTGAGACAAAGCAGTGGCCGTAGAGTCGAGAATATGACTCACTGGCACATCAATTGTGGAAGATCCAAAAAATCTCTCATACGTCGTTCTCAAACGTTGGGCATCTCTGTTGGCGTCGTTGTGGCGAATTTTGCGAAAAGTTCTGAGCCTATATCCGTAGAAGATCAAATGGACGCAAGCACTGAAGCCACCCGATCACCACAATCGTCATATTTTCGAGAATTGGGCTGAGCAACAACTTGAAAATGAACGGTTTTTTATCCAAAAATCATCTTCAGCGATGAGGCTCATTTCTGGCTAAAATATGCGTTGTGTTGTCAGGCAGCAATCCACACGTATTCCATGGGTCACCATTGTATTCCTAAAATATTACGGTTTGGTGCAGTTTATGGGCCGGCGACGTCATTGGGCCGTATGTCTTCGGTGATGATCAAAACTGGCAYGTTACTGTGAATGGGAATCGCACATTGAATGAAATCGACTCGGGCAATATGTGTACAGGGTTTGTCCGGAAAATAATRGKACTGATTTTCATACGCCGCGACTACACTTCGGAGCGTGGGCGCACCGACTGGATTCCAAAAAAGGCTTTCCTAGCTAACGAACGAGCGGCTTCTCRGTTGTCTTCGAGCTCCGACAGAGACATTTGATTTGATCAAACATTCYCACCCAGAAGTTGCTTTAGCAAGAGCAAATCCARAGTGTAAACCATGTTAAATTTCTTTCTGACATCAACCACTATGAGTGTCTTMYTCCTRGACAAACCATCAAAGGCAAGTTCYACGTGGAAGAGACTCAAATAAAGAGTCAATCGGATCCGACAAGACTTGCATTCAAAGTTGCACCACGACAACGCCCGCCTTTCTTTTGTACAGCTACTTAACTAAGGCCGGCATCCCAACGCTTCCGCAGCCGCCCTACGGTTCGGGAGGGCCACTGGCTTTTTCATATTTCCTTGCCTATGAAGATCGATGAAAGGGGATCCAAGCAGCAAGCACCTCGACTATAAAGGCTATTCTGGAGAATGCCCTCCGTGACGCCTCCAATGCTTGCAAATCGAGCTGGCAGCGTTGCATCGGCTCAGAAGGAGCCTATTTTGAAAGTTTTTAAAGAATTGTCACGATTGGTTCAATAAATTATCTTAAATCGACTCAGTCTTATTACTTTCCGGAAAAACCCTGTATATAAAAGTATGAAAGCCACCCTTTATTTGCTTATCACGGCTTTAAATTTTAACAAAAAGTTATAAATAGAGTTAGAAAAGTTAAAACTTGAGGCCAACGCTATATGACAGCTATGATACTAACGACAACATTTACTAACTGTAAATATTTGGCGTAGTTTATATTAGACTGAGATTAAAACATTTTATACACTCCACTGCTAATTTGTAAATTCACAAGAAAAGAAAGTCAACCAGTTAATAAAATGCAGCTAAACGCATTCAGTTTTAATTGCGGCTCGGAGCAGTAAACATTAGTAAAGTTGTGATAATGGTATCGAAAGATATTTCCGCTGAGAATGCTGGTGAGACTGCCGCTGGAACTGACGGCCAGTATACAGTAGATATCGACGTCACCATGCCTAACCGGTTGTTTTACATTTTCAATAGGTCCGAAAGTGGGCGTGCGACATTTGCAAAGTATGCTGATATTTTTTGGTTTGTGTGTGTCGTTTATGCAACGCGTCAATCTCTCAGTGGCTATTGTGGCAATGATGGATCGGAATTCAACTAATCCAGATTTTCCGGTGCGTCCATAATTTTTCAATTGGTTTTCTCAATTATAACAGTTATTGCCTACGATATACATATAGGAGTATGAGTGGTCAGAGCGAACAAAGTCACTGCTACTGAGCAGCTTCTTCTGGGGCTACTTCCTTACGCAGATACCAGGCGGTCAGCTGGCGCAGCGTTTCGGCGGTAAAACAATGTTGCTCTTCAGTGTCGGCATTTCAGCATTTCTCGCGTTGTTCACGCCCTACAGCGCTCAACTGGGCGGTTGGCAATTCATATGCGCCTTACGATTTCTGCAAGGCTTTTGCCAAGGTTCCATTTACCCATCAACGCACACTATTTTAGCCCGATGGGCGCCACCAGCTGAACGCGGTATACTTGCAACACTCTGCTTTTCCGGCTCGCAATTCGGCACGATCATCATATTGAGTATTAGTGGCACATTAGCGGCTTCAAAGTATGGGTGGCCGAGCATTTTCTATATTTCCGGCAGTTGTGGTATTATCTGGTCGTTTGTGTGGCTATTGTGGGGCGCTGATTCACCGCATCAATCCAAATTAATAASACCAAAGGARCRAWATTACATCGAATCAGCAATAGAAGCGATTTCCAAGAGTGAGAATAATACCAATTCAGCAAAGTTGCCCACCCCTTGGTTGAGCATTTTCACATCCTTGCCATTTTGGGTGCTACTCATCGCAAATTGTGCCTACAATTGGGGCTATTGGACACTGATGACACAAATACCCTCGTATATAAAGAACGTGTTCGACAARGATATCAAGAGTAATGCTCTACTCTCCGCCTTACCATATGTCGCTAGTCTTGTACTCGGTCTGTGTTTCTGTGCGCTTGCTCAGCTACTGCTTTCAGCAAACGTATTGAGCACGAATGCTAGTCGTAAGATCTTCAACACGATCGGCATGTGGGTACCGGCAGCGGCCACAATTGCGCTGGCGTTTGTTGACGCCAATAGTGCTGATTTGGCCGTTATTCTACTCACTGTGGCTGTGGGCACCAACTCAGCAACATTTTTGGGTGGATTTGTGAATCACATTGACTTATCGCCCAATTTCGCCGGCACACTGATGGGCCTTACAAACTGTGCGGCGAATTGTATGAGCATTATTGCACCRTTAGTTGTTGGCGTCATTGTGACAGACACGGTAAGTTCGTTAAACATAATAGACGCAAATACATATACGTAATATTATCGTACCAATTGCAGACAAACCCAAATCAGTGGCGCCTTATATTCTACGTTATGGCATTTTACTATTTCATGGGCAATTTACTTTTTATATCTTTGGGTAGCACTAAACTGCAGCCGTGGAACGAGCCGGTGAAACGAGACACAGATCATGAGCGTATCAAATTTCAAATGGTAGTAGATGACCAGGAGAATAAATTATCAAAACTTGAATTTAGTTAGATGAACTACAATATTCAGAATGATGAATGGATCTTCATTGCATTCAGCAAACAAGCGGAGATGGAGTATAATGCTAATTTGGAATGTTCTAAAAAAAGTATTAGATATAAGAATAAAAAATTTGTTAAATTTCTTGCAGAGTGTAATTGTTTGTTATACCTAAAACTGCCCTGTTGGAATCCTCTCGTACAATGTGAAACAGAAGGTTTCGTGGAGCGCYTAACCGTCATATACTTAACATAAAAGTTCTCCAACTACCAGTTGTCTTTATATTAATCCAGTATATGAGTAAAAGTAAAGTAATTATAATGAAATTAAGGGAGCATATTTTTATAATGACCCAAATAATCATAACACACATAGACCTAATGTATTCACTTCAAACCTTCCGGTTTCTTAGGCTACGCGTTTTCTTAACCACTAGCCCTAATAAGTTTAAATCCCAACCCCTAATGCAAATGGACACGAAGCTAATCCTAGTATTAAAATTGGGTGAGTTCATGGCCTATAATTTAAAATACTTGTAATAACATATGGTTGGAATCCGTTGCATTTTGCAAAAGTCTAATTGCAAAGTTTTGCCAGTGTCTGAAAATATGCCCCAGGTTATGATCACTAAAAATTGCGAGGGAAAAAATGTGCGTTAAGTAGAAATATCAGTATATATATATATACTGAAACTTGTAAAAAATAAAGAGCGGTTTATAATTCCGGAATASATTTCACATTGAAAAATATCGTCATTATTTGGGAGAAGGATCAAAATGCCATAACCAGTTACACTTATCTGGTTGTGGCGCTGGGCAGCAATGCTGTAAAGTGCAGGTGTTTCTGCTTGGTCTTTAATTCGTTTTGTCTTTCTTTAACTCTGGTTTACGCTCCAGGGTTGTCGCTGATCTTTCTTCTCTTTTGGTCCTTAAATAAGTATGCTTTCGCACGCCACATGAATTCGCGTTTTTAAACACATCCATTCTAGCTCTAACCTGACCAGAKATTCGATTTGGGATGTGCCAATTGCTTAATGAGTTGCACCGAACTTCACAGTCAATCGTTGATTTTTTAATTTTCGTCACTTACCTATTATAAAGATAGCGACTCAATGCCTGCCCATAATGTATGCTCCTTTAAGAAAGTGTTCTGGGGTAAGAGCTGCGATCTCTGAAGGAACTTGAGAAAGTGCTGTAAGTAGCGGTGAATTGAAAACGGCATCAATTCGAAYTAATAATGTGGTGAACTGTTAAAAATTAAAGTTGGTTCCTTGTGGAGCGAACTTTTGAAAAATCTCACAAAATGGTCTTCAGTAGCTCTTTGGGCTCCAATAAAGGGTTTGCTGTCATCGCTCATTAATTTTGATGGGAAGCTACGTCAAACGACGAAGCGAGCGAAGGAGGCGAGAAAGCATGAACTATCCCCCCTCAAAAGAGCGKCTATTAAACCATGCCTTGCTGTATTTTAATTAACACGTTTAATCAAACACATCTTTAAAGAWATTGAAAACACCACATCTTCATAAAATTTCCAAAATCATTAAACTTCAATATACGCCTTATATCATATGTGAATGGAGCTCCATCTTTGGGTGTATTGGCTAAGATTGCRATGCTATGAATGCAAATAAGGCATCAATTTAAACCTTGAGATMAGCGCTATCCGACAAAAATGGCACTAATTAATTACACTGGATCACAAATTTGAATTTGTTTTTTGTTCCACGGGTGCCACTATCCAATTTGTATGTGAAATGGCTCGCTGATTTCAAAAATCGAGTAAATTTTTGTTATGGATACGTTTTTGAGATATTTGCAATTCACCGTTATTCGACCAAAAAAAAAAACAGGTGTCTTCATTTCATCATGTATACCTCACTGACCACTTGCGCAATCTTACTACAAATTATATAAAATAAAAGTGAATGAAATTTCCTAAAAATACTCCATTTTTCCAGAGGCCTTATAATTTCCGAGAACGGGTGGGATATCTAGCTATGCGCTGTTTCTGTTAAGTAAAAAGTCAAATTTCATGTCGTTTTTAGTTTTTATATACTCATTTATTTATATATTAGTAATATATATTAAAAGAATGTGTTATTTTTGTRTTAAGTTGATGTTCTTACATTATAGTCGAAATGATTATGTGTTTTGTTTTGTCGTTTATTTAGTTTAGGACCGGCTTCTCTTATGAGAAACCAACAGTAGTCTTCGCCATGCTCGTCACTTTCGTCTCCGAGATTTCCCGGAAAAAAACTTAAATGGGAATGCAGGAAATGAATTTTTAAAGACATATTTACGCCTGGAGAAAAAAGAAAATGTAAATAAGTAAATTATAAAATTCTATATAATTAAATTAAATAAGTTTTGAATAATCACCCATTTCTGCATAATTTTTGATTAAGTCGCTTACTATCTTCTCGTAGTTTGGACTTTTGTGTTTACCGAGAAAAGAAGAAACGACCATTTCGAAGGAATCCCACGCTGCTGGCTCAACTGGTGACAATAGTCCTTTGAATTGGTCATTATTTATCAACTTTTT